ATGCGACTGCTCTTTCAATCATCCTCGGCTGCTCAAGATCTCCCTGGGAACGCCTCCGCTCTGGAAACGTGGCAGTTTTGCATATTTTTTAGAGAGCCGCAGAGCAAAACCCAAAATGGGGATTGCGGGCAAGTGGAGCAGGTCCTAAAGCAGTTACGTCAGCCGGGCTGGGAGCGGGGATTCGGGTTAGATCAGGCCCTTGAAGAAGCCTGCCCGCATCTTTGTTGCGCTGAGCCAGCTTTGGGTGCTTGGAGCATCTGTTCTGGGTGTACATCATCTTGCCCGAGGCGCGTTCCCAGGAATATCCCAGAATGCACCACTGGGGGGCACCCGGCAGCCCAGGCCTGCAAATAAGCTCCATATTTATGACACGAGAAATGGGCGCAACAGCTCTGCGGGCGCAGGCCCATTTGGCAGCCTGTGAGCGTCTGAAGTGGGATAAGCAGAGTCGTTTGAACCCCATCTCATTCAGCATTCATGTTGGAGCCGTTCACACGGGAGCAAATGCAACAGCTAGATCAGAGCAGCGAACAAGTGCTCCAGAGCACTGAAGCCCCCTCCCCATTGCACAGGCACGATGTGGCGCCTGCCCTGCGGTGCCAACTCTTCCCTGTACCGAGGGGCTTTCAGATCACCATGGCCCTGTGGCTCCCGGAGGGCCAAATGGGGAACGAGCCGTGTTCCCTCTCCAGGCTGCAGGTCGTGAAGGGTTGCAGCTGCGCTGCCCCGCTCTTCCGGTGTCCCTGAGGGCTGACCGCTTCCATGCTGGTCCGTCCTGGTCTGCTTGAGGCTGGGGAGGACCAGACGGTCTCCCAGGAGAAGCCAGGCCTGACTCCTCAGCTGTCAGCTCTCCGGGAGGGCCCCACTGGGTTTGCAATAGGGTTTCTAGGCTCCCTCCTGCAGTGCATTAGCAGGACTGTCTCTGTGCTCTCGGGAGCCAGCCCTCACTTTGCCCATCGCGTTCCTGAGTCCTTGGATCACGTGAAATTCAAGCCAGCGGCTCTCACCAAGTCCCCGCAGGCACCCAGGCGGAACCATCACTCCAGTGCCAGCCTCCATTTCTGCTTCTAGGCATCATCCAAACCCAAGAGCCTCTTGCACTCCAGGGGGACAGATTCCCTGTTCAGCCCAGTCAGGCCAAGCAGGTGGGTGCAGCCAAGGTGGGGAGGAAGCCACCAAGACCCCCCTAAGCACTGCATCCTTCCTCGGGCCTGGGGGGTCCTGAAGCCTCCATCGGTGGGATGTGCCGGGTCCTTTGCTGGATCCTGATGGGTAATCTCTGATACAGCTCCTCCTTGGCCTGCCTCCAGAGGCAGCAGCACTGGACGCTGTCTCCTGGCACATGGGTGCAAAGAAGTCTCACGCCAGAGTTTTCCCGGCTTCTTTTCCCTTCCCGAGCTCCTGCCCTGAATCTCGATGCTGTCCTTCTCTCCGCGGAAGGTTCCTGCACCTGGAGAGACTGAGTTTAACAGTGCAAGCCCTCCTGGCGTCTCAGGAAAGTGGTTGTGAAGCAGAACCTCCTGATGCCAGGCAGACAGACGCAGAATGAGATGGCAACACGGAGGTGAAGGGGCACAGATGGATTCAGAGGAAAGAGGGAACATTACTGACCGGCATGATGGGCTCAGCCCCCAAGCTGTTCTCAGGATTTTTACAGGCTCCATTGCAGCAGAGGGCTCTCGACGAACAGTCATGTTCCTTAGAGACGTCCAGGAGGGCTTTTGAAAGCACTTCCTCCCTTAGCCTTTCCCCTCCTGTTGGTCTAGGTCTGGACGTCTAGCTCTGTGCAGATGCTGATGGCAGACAGGGCAGCAACCCGCATGCAGGCACTCCGCAGGCGAGATGTGGACGAGAGAACTGTCTGGCCTCCTCCTCTGCCGTGCTGCTCCGAGAGCAAGCGGAGACACAACTGATGGCTTTGGTTTGAGAGAGAAAGTAGACCCTTAGGCCCTCGAGGTGGAAGAACCAGGAATGCAAGGAGGGAAGGCAAACTTGTGGCCACATGTATTTTTTTTCCTTCCTCTTCACTGTGGTTTTGCTGGTGTGGTTCGGTATCGCACCCCGTAGCTACGGAGACAAAGCAAAAGCCAACGGGCTCTTTCACCGAGAAGGCTGTACCCTCCCTCAGTTCTCTTTCTGCTGATGGAGCTGGGTGCAGGTCCAAAGCAACAGACCTGTGGGTTTCGCATCTGAAACCAAAGCTCCTATGCCCACCGCAGAGGCAAGGAACTGAGGCCCAGACAGATGAAGCAGCCTGGCAGTTTTGGCAGAGCCGGAGATAGAGCCGACATCTCCAGAGTCTTCCACAAATGCTCCCAGTACCCTCCTCCCCGCTCCAGTGGCCCAAGTGGTAGCAAACACAAGAGGCTTTTTGGAGTCAGAAAAAAGTCCATTTAAAAAAAGAAAAGGAAAGAGCTTGGTTAAAACTTTTGTGCCCTGAACACTCAACATTCACCACAGAGATTTATGCTGAATGCAAAGGCAGAGACAGTTCAGTTTGCATTTGTGGCCTGGCTTCTCATCCTCATGACAGCATTGCGCACAACGCCTACCGATTTTGTTTTTTAAGCTTACAGCACAATTCATGCTTTTATCTATACCATCAATTAGCCCCCCCCACCCCATCAAAATGAAAACTCAATTTTAATACCTTAGAGAGCTCCAGAAACATTCACAGACGTTTGCAAAACTGCTTTCCCGTTCCTCTGTTGCTGCTTCTGTATCTCTTTTTAGTGGAGCTGGCGTCTCTCTCACATGGGGACATAATAACACTTCCCAGATGGAAAAGGCAAAGCAGGAGACAGGGAAGCAACTGGCCCAATTAGAAAAGCACTGATAATTAAAGAGGTTCAACACAGTTGTGATTCAGGTTCCCTACTCTCTGAAGCTTTTAGAGAAACTTAATCGCTGTTAAACCAGCTGGTTTAAAATGATCTAGTTTAAATTAACAGCTGGTTTTAAAAACTGCTGAATACAGAATGTCACACTTTGCAAATCATTATAGCTAGCTACGCACATTTAAAAAAAACAGTAGCATCGAATTGGCAAGATGGCGACTTCCCTGTCTGATGGGTAATTGCATTTTGGCAGTTTTTCTTTTGGCACTTTCTTCTTAATTACATACAGGGATAAAATGTTTATACATGTGTGTATAGATATGTGTGTATGTGTGCGCACACGGGCATGCATATATGTGTATGTATGTATACAATTGTGCATTTATATAATGCGTGTGTGTATATGTGTACATATATATCGCGTACATACATAATTGTGCATTTATATAATGCATGTGTATATGTGTGTGTGTGTGTGTATAAAATGCGTGTGCATATATAACGTGCATGGGGGGGGTGTATGTATATGTATGTATGTAGGTGTATACACCCACACGCATACACAATTGCATTGCACTGGCGTTTCCCTTAACCAACCACACCAGTTCAGCTGTGGATCGCCACACTGGAAAGAACCCGAATGAAGAGTTTCTTGCAGCTGGGTGCCAGACTCCTTCCCAAGGAGGAAGCCCCATAACATTTTCATAGTGGCTATCCATTATCCCTGCAGCCACCTTCCACTTCAGCCCTACTCCTGCAGCTGATACACTGATGGATCCTGCAGAGCAAATCCTGATCACACGCAAGTGTCAGTCATAAGGACTTTCTACACCTCTTGCTACAAAAGCCTTTATACTGATTTCAGCGATTTGGGGTCTTTACCGATATAAGATGGAGTTTCTTAAAATAATAAACAATATGTTTCTTCAAACATGCTCATTCTTGTTTAAGTTGCTACTGTTTATTCCGTGTATCAAAATTCAAAGTTACCCAGGAAAGAACCAGTATTTTGGAGTTTTACAAATATTTACACCACAAAAAGACAAAGGTGAAGCTTTGATCTGATCTTGGATGAAAACTTGGATGAAACAAGTCAAACTCACCAAGAAAAAAAACCCGGCAAAAGCTCCTACGCACAATCACCTGGGAAACAGCAAGCATCCAGCACAGGGGACGTGGCTTCTTATTAATGCCGACCGGCCCAAACTTGCACACGAGATCTCAATCTGCTTTTAGTCTCCCCCCCATGGAGCAGCTGACGGATCACATCCAGACTCAACATGTTTTGTATTTTTTAATAAAGTTTGTAATCCAATGGACACACAAAACAAAACTGCGCTGAGAAAACAGTTCCATAAATTAATAAGTGTTAGGGCAGGTGAGGAAGAGGGAGGAAGGCAGGTAAAAAGTCTTTGTACAAGTGTATAACACTTCCACATATTGTGAGACGAGGGACGGGGCAGGTAATGTTTAAATGAAGCGCACTTACAAATGAGTGACAATACAAAGTCTGAGTATGAAAATAAGATTTTCTCTGAAAACACATTTTTGGCACAGATTAAAAAAAAATGTATGTTGTGGGGATCTGATTTTTTTAAAGTCAGTATTATATATATTTATATATATTATATATATATTTATATATACACACACCCACTGAGTTCTGCATATCCCACCAGGAAGGAAAATAGCGCTCCCTTTTGTTTTGTTTTTTCAGTGTAAACTGTACATCCCAGATGAAGAGAAGACAACTGCAGCAAGGGGAGTGGAGGAGAGGAAGGGTCACATCCAGAAGAAGAAGAAGAAAAAAAAAAGATACTGTGTGAAATGATCCTTGACCCACAAATTTCAGCAGAAGTTCCCAGGTCCTGCGTTTGATCCACAACGCATGTTAATGTGTGTCAAGACATCCAGAACGTCACAGCATGTCTTCAACTGTGCAAAGGTCCAAGTCACTAATTTAGTGCAAAGGCAGTTCAGGTTCTTTTTTTAATTTTTTGTTAAAAAAAATAGCCATCCTTATTTTCCCCAAAAGGAGGCACAGAAACCCAATACCAGTCCGCCTGCTGAGTGCATCAGTTGTCCGTAAGCTAAAGCAATATGTAAACATACAAGGTAGCAGAACCACTACCCAGCAACAGTTTGATCAGGGCCTGTTAGGGCAGGAGGCTGGTAGTCTGGCAGCATTTTCTTGGTTCATTCGTCTCTCTCTCTCTCTCTCTCTCTCTCTTTTTCCTTTATTTTTTTCCTCTTTTTTTGTTTTTTGTTGGGTTTTTTTTGCTGCAGGGCCTTGGAAAAGTCAGTAACCAGTAAACAGCTCATACCGATGCAATGACAATCATAAGGTGAGGAGAGATGTTGGAGATGCTGGCTAGGAGGTCTGGAGCTAGACGGGACAGGTGGTTTTCAGAGAATTCACAGGGTGGGAATATCTGCAGAACGTAGGCAGGCTGTGAAGGGAGGGAAAAAAAAACAAAGCATGAAAAGAGGGGCTGGGAACCTCTATATATTACTGGTTTTGCCTATACAAATCTGACAAGCACGGGAGCCCTGACCTGGATAACGCACATGGTGCCACAATAAAGAAGTTCACCTCGACACTGCTAAATTGAACTGTGAAGCAAATGCTGATGGAGAAAGACCACAGACAAAAGCTTCTTTAAAAAAAAAAGGAATAAAAGCCACGTACGATGCAGCCCTCACTCCCTCCTCTTTTGCTAGGGAACCTTCACGAGATGTCACGAGCAGTAGGCAACCTCAGAATCAATCTTTCTCACCAGCTTTGGCTGGGGAGACAGGAGATGCTAGTGCCAGTTACAGCCTCGAGTAGCAGGAAGATAAGGTTCAAAAATTGAAAAAGCACGATGTGCACTGGGGGCAACACTATTTAGCACTGGTACACAAGGGCACTTTTTCAAACATGTATTGAGGTTGCTTTACTGATTCAGCAGCAACACACGTCTGCTTCTCAGAGTGAAGGATTTCTGCCCCTTGGTATCTTAGCACCTGAACGGGTTTATCACGAAACAGAGAACAATAGCTGTTAATAATCTTTTTGAGCGAAGGAACAGCTTTCATAGCACTGGAGAGCTGAGCAGGGTCGAGTGTCATTCCAGTGAATTATTTGTTCCTGGTAAACACCGAGCAGATTGGACTTGGTGCAGCAGTGCATCCAGGACAAATATTCCAGTGTTATACAAAAAACCCCACACATTTGGGCAGATGTAATGTTCTGAGATATTTCAGGTACCCTGGGAAAAAGCTCTTGGACATCATATAAAAAAAACCCAAGGACATAAAAGAAGGGTAGGTGTGGAGTGCTACTTGCTTTTTATCTTTAAAGGCAAAAATGTATACAGCACAAATCTGGAAAGGAGAAAACAAAGATGCTCCCTTTGACTTTGCAGTTCACCTTTGAGATTCCTATTTGGTTTATTTTCACCATGGAAACAACCAGCTACCCCTATACATGATAAATGTCTCAAAGAGACAAGCATGTACCTCGATCCTAGCCACGCACGAGGGATGCTGGATGGGGTTCTACACCCCACCTCTACAGCAGTTGTCTACTTAACTTCAGCTTTAACTACAAAGTTTTGCTGTTTCCTTCCCCATACCTGATTAGAGCCGGGGTTGGGAACATTGATGATTCCTGCAGCTTGTTTAGCCTGCAGGTAGCTAATGAATGCAGCCTTAAGTGACTCCGTCTGACTCACTACGTCTTCCTGGTCTCGTCCACAAGGCAAGGCCAGTAACAGGCAGTAATCACTCTCCACCTGGAAAGAAATTATGACAATTAGCAGTCAAGCATTTGTGAAGAACAGGCTGGCTCCTGATATCTAATCATCCTAAACCCTTTGCTGGAAAATCCACCTTCCTGCAAACCGTGTGTGAGTGCTGTTGGAAAGCAGCTGCCAAAATCTCAGCCATTTCCAAAGAAGGTGAAGAAACCTATCAAGATTTTTTAACTTCCAGTTTTCTACAGACTTCTGTTTCCCGTGTTGCTCAGACACTCTGGAGATAACAGAAGTCTGTTCCACAGACAAAAGTACTTTTTAAGGCACTAACTAACCCCTCTGCTGTTCCCGATTCTAAGGGTAGCATGCAGAGTGAAACTAGGCATTAACTTCTGCACTTAAGCCTTAGGTAAAATCTGGGGCTGGACCCAATGATCTTGCCAGGTCCCTTCAAGCCCTAATGTCTATGAAATCTGTGAAATGAGACGTATCTGATGCCTGCGGCAATATTTCTGAGGCTCTATGGCCCCGAGCAGCAAAGACGTCAGCCGTACCATCATTCTGCGTGCTACACCCTCCAACTGTGAAGCCTCTAGACGCATGCGCTGAGCAATTCTCAGAGGAGGGCCTCCTTCGGGTGCCGGCAGGGACCGGTGTGCCAAGACGTTGTTCCCGGAGACAAAGTGGAGCTGAACCGCAGCGGTGTCGTTCTTCAGCGCCAGGAGGCCCTGCCACACAATTGGGTATTTCTGAAAATAAACAGGAGAAGAAACCTTAATACATATCAAGAAAGATGGGAAATAAAAGACCTAGGGAAATGCTTGCAGTGAAGAGCTTCCATGTGTTCAAGTGATCTTAACAGGGAGGGATATCATGTCTTGTATGCTGCTTGTATGCTTCTGAGATTCACAGGTCATACTGGCATCACTGCATTGGTTTTTCACCCATGCAGGACATGTGACAGACATGCAGGCCACGCCATGCCACAATTAACAGTGCAACCCTTTTTCTTCATGGTAGTCACCTGTCTCGGGTACTTCCCTGGTCCTTTCCCCATGTCTGAGCACATCATAATCTCTAATGCATGTATCCTCCGAAAGGCCAGGCAATGCTATTAGTCAAATTTTACAGATGGGAAGCTGAGGAGGAGAGAAACAAAGAGACTCGCCCAGGGTCACACAAGGAACATTCGGCAGAGGAGGAAACTGAATGTGTCGCAGATGCCGGACTAGTGCTCTCACCACTGGACCATCCTTCCTCTATCACTTCTCTCAACTCCTTATGCTCCAGTATCTAAGGTTTTTTTAAAAAGGAAAAACCAGCCTTGCAAAGATAACCTTCCCCAGGGAAAGAATGTCTAATAATGCAGTGATTTCTGGCTCAGTGTCTAATAATGAGGGATGTGGATAACCTGGAGAGGGTCCAGAGGAGGACCACTCATATAGTTAAGGGCTTGCAGGCCAAGCCCTACGAGGAGAAACTAGGGCACCTGGACCTCTTCAGCCTCTGCAAGAGAAGGTTGAGAGGCGACCACCTTATGGCTGCCTATAAATTCATCATGGGGGCGCAGAAGGGAATTGGTGAGGCTCTACTCACCAAGGTGTCCCTGGGGGTCACAAGAAAGAATGGCCATAAGCTAGCAGACAGCAGATTTAGACTGGACATTAGGAGGAACTTCTTCACAGTAAGAGTGGCCAAAATTTGGAATGGGCGCCCACGGGAGGTGGTGCTCTCCCCTACCCTGGGGGTTTTCAAGAGGAGGTTGGATGGGCATCTGGCTGGGGTCATCTGAACCCAGCACTCTTTCCTGCCTATGCAGGGGGTTGGACTTGATGATCTGTTGAGGTCCCTTCCCACCCTAACGTCTATGAATGCAGTGATTTCTGGCTAAGTCTGAAGAGAGCCTGAAACACTAGCACATCTAGAGTGTTCTCACTCTTGCCATATAAATGTGACTATCACCAACTATTCTCTGGTGATAACAGCATCCAAGAAAGCAGAGGGATGGCTATGTTCTGAAGGTGTGTGGTATTTAATGCGAGTGGCGGTACGTTTTGGCGTCACAAGTGGGAGGATCACAGTCGAGTGCCACCACCTATCTCCTCTCCCCTAGTCCCTGTTTGACAGACATAACAAAGCATGAAGATGACAGCGGCTCAGGAAGGACAGGGAAGACAAAGCTTACCGTTAAGAGCTGAACCATATCCACAGGTCTCTGAGAAACCGGGTGAAGAGAAGGATCCTGTTTCAGAGCAGACTGGGGTTCAGGGCGGGTCAGCGGCAGGCCTGGTGGGGCTCCAGGGCCTGAAGTTGTAGGGATGAACAAAGACTGCTTCGGAACTGCCTGAGGCTGGTGCGGTGATGGAAGCTCCTGTTTCAATGAAATGGCAACAGGTGAAGGGTAGGAGGTCTGGCCTGTATCTGCCTGTGCCCTCTGAAGATGTATGTGAGGATCTATCTGTGCTGCATGCCTATTTACAGTGGTGTGGTGGGTCTGCTCAGGTCCGGCTGCCTGTGGCCCCTTGGAGTCCTGGGAAATCTGAGGAGTTTTGCTGCGCACTGGCTGACCGGGGTGCGAGTGCTCACCTTCCGACAGACCCTATAAAGCGGAGGGGGGCAGGGGGAGAAAGAAGGCAAGGGTTGAAGAATGCACTTAAGGCACAGAGTGTTCTCATTTACCAAGACTTCTAGAAAACAGAATGGAATCCACCTAGGCATTCATGTGGCTCCTATGACAGCAGCATCTAAGAACTTCACAGCATCATTGTGAGTTATCATCACTCCCCCAGGAAAAAACCTGTTCAACCTCATGCAGGGAGCCGGCAGCAGAGTTGGAAACTGAACCATGATCCCCCGACACCTTGTAAACTGCCTAATCCACAAGGCCCTACTTAACTGTGCCATCTATCCGACATATAACACCCATTCACCTGTACAAAACAGTACCTGCTTACAGTAACAGGTAAAACAGCTGCAAGTGAGCAGAATTACACCAAGACACCATCTGGGCTACAATGGAAACTTTCCTTCTCTCACATCCTTAAACCTAGGAACCTGAAAGCAGATTTCATACTCTCACTGGACTGGACTGTAATGAAAAAGAGGATGTCCTCCCCATCAGCAAGGGAAGCTGAGGTTAGATATTAGGAAAAACTCTCTCACTAGAAGGGTGGTGAAACACTGGAACAGGCCCCCCAGGGAGGTGGTGGCATCTCCATCCTTGGAGGTTTTGAAGTAGAGCTGTGGCTGGGATGATGTAGTTGGGGCTGGTCCTGCTTTAAGCAGGGGGCTGGACTAGATGTGACCTCCCAAGCTCCCTTCCAACCCTCGTTTTCTATGAGTCTGTGATCAGTTCTTTTCCAGCGAGATTAGAAAGGTTCGTATTCATTCCACGTTTCCCAAGCAAAAATAACCAAGTTCTAGCACCGTAAAACACAACCTTAAATAAAGGAGCTAATGGAACACCTGTGGAAAGACATCAGGATGATCACGTTTCTCACCTGAGATGGGGTCATGCTCCGGGAAGGCAGCCCAATTGGCGAGGCACCGGGGAACTGAGGATGACCGAGCTGGGCTGCTGTATGGTAGTTCCTCATGTCACCATACACTGGTCGGTAATCATGAAAGGAACTTCCCGTTGGGTGCATGATCTGTACACCATGAGGTACCACCACCGGCTGCGTCAACAGCTGGCTGCTGGGAGGGACGCTGAGAAGGCGAGGCTCGTTGTGTGGAGAGTGAGCCATTTTCACATCAGACGTCTTGGGCGCATCTTTTCCAGGCTGCGGAGTCTTGCTTACCGGCGGAGTTTTCACAGAGCCGTCTGGTGTTCTCGACTGTCTCGTTTCGGGGTGGTGGTCGCCCACTGCCGCCATGTGCGAGTGCATCATCATTCTCACGTCCCGAGCCACGTTGTACTGGTCAAGTCGAATACTTGTCGGATGCATGCGGTAGTCCGGCTGCATGACAAGCACATCGGACTGCACGGGGGCAGACCCTCGGCACACGCTGTGATGGAAGTGCATCTCATCTTCCGGGGGATGTTGAGAAGACAGCGGAGGCATGACTATGTCTCTTATCGGAGCTGGCTGAGGTGTGCTGGATCGCTGAGGTCTGATTTCCATCTGAGACTGCAGAGCTGCTCTGGGAGAGTGGAGCGTTTCTGGGCGGATGCCGTAAGATATACCAGGCAGAGGAGGGGTGTTCATTCTCACTTCACCTTGGGACAGATGGCCAAGGGATACAGTCTGCGTTACACTGTGAGGGGGCATTATAACAGATTGCTCAGGGTGCATACTGGATATGTATTGAGGCACAGGAATTCCCGGAGCCAGCATGACGGAGGTACTACTAGACAAAGCAGGAGAGGATGTACTGCCAGGATGACAAGCCCGCGGAAATGGAGAAGGAGAATGTCCACTGGTACGTGGGGAATGGGGCTCTTGTTTCGCAACCCCCAAATGAGAAATGGCCCGATCCGTTGGGGTGCTGGGTCCTGAGCTGACATGGTTGGCCTCTGAATGCATTTTACCAGACAGGGAAGGATGATGAGGACTAACCCCAGGGCTCAAGTTGGATGACTGAAGAGATTTAGTCTCCACTTTCAGAGCAGTTGGATCAGGAAGCTTTTTGTTGGTGGAAGCTACATTTTGTGAGAGTACCATCTGATTGTGAACCAGTACAGGCGGAGTGTTTACGGTCTGGGAGAGGACTTTCACTGGCCCCGACTGAGAAGCTGGAGCCTGCACAGAAAGGTGGCCCGATTCAGATTTCTCCAAGGTACTGCGTTCTTGCTTAACAGAGGAGATCACAGGGGATGTATTATATGCTTGTGTTCCTAGTACCAAAGAAGAGTGGGTGGAGACATTTCCATACCCTGTAGGAGTTTGGGAACCTTTCGGTGTGGGCTGAGATGGAGTAATAGGCTCTTGTTTAATCTGCGACTTGGATACAGACTGCTGAAATTCTATATCCACCGCGCTGGCTGGGGGAATCTGACTGATCTTTGCGCTAATCCGCTGGGGGCCTTCGGTCTTCTGTCCTGAATAACTGAGAAGTACAACACCCTCTGACGTGTTCACTCGCAGACCGGGGCTGGATCCAGTCTCTACTGGCCTGTCTTCAATAACAGACATAGAACCCGGATGAAACCTGCTGTTGTCATTTGTGCTTATCTTCTGCTTGTACTTTGGAGAAGGGGCATTGACTAGACACGTCTGGGTTTGGGGGGCTTGTTTCATCAACGTGATCCTCGGAGTCTCCTCTAGATCAACACTATGCGGCATTCTGCTTATAACGGAAGTAGCTTTGGGAGCAATTACAGTACTTATCTTTTCTTTCTCACTAAAAACTGGTGCCTCTGCTACTGGGGGATCCAACGTGTTGGTGACAGGAACCGCTGGTTTTTCTTCTGACACTGGTTTTATGGCCTCTACTGCAGGATGAGGAGGTGCCTCCTCCAAACGCGATGTGCTCACTGGCTCAGCAATGGAGGTTGTAACGTGGGTAGAAGTGATGCTTGCTGCCGAGGAGTACTTTGGCTCCATGAGTATCTTCCTCAAAGTGCTTGAACTGGTGTCGATATCGGATGCTTTAGTATCAGGGGGGAGAGCTGGCGGTGGGGTGGAACGAGCACGGGAATCGTCATGCCTGACGATCCATTCTGACACCTTGGTGGTAGTGGAATGGAGAGGAACTACCCCAGCCGGTACAGGGGTCGGTACTTTTCCTGCAGGTACAGGTGGCACTGGAGGAACGGCTGGGTTTGGAGCACTGCGGGAAGGCGGGGGTGGGTTTTCAGCAGCCGACCGCAGCTTGAAGCCAGTTTGGCTCACATCATCCACAGGGACAGGCGGAGAGGGCAGGTCTAGAGGAGCAGCAGCAGCAGCAGCTTTAGGTGGGGCACTGCTCTCCGTTACGGTTTCGTGTGCAATTGCATCCCCGGCCGCAGCTTTGGCAGCATCGGAAGCACTCGGGTCTGCAGGAACCTGAACAGAGGTCTTGTTTTGCTTTTCATCTTTCAAGATTTCCTCAGGTATTGCCTTAACTTCATTGGCAATGGGAGATTTACTTGGTACCCGTTCAGGCTCAAAAACATTGACTTCAGCCGTATCCCCCTTTTTGCTCGTGCTCCTTTTACGTCTCTGCCGAGTGGCCTTTTGACGACCTCTGTCCTTCCGAGAAACCTCAGCTTCCTGCAGCGTTTCAGCTTCCTGGGCAGAATTGGAAGATTCACTGAAGCTCACTTCCGGCTCCTTGCTGTCTGTCTCTGCTGTGGACGGCGTGGAGCCAGGGACCGGCTGTGCAGGGGGCTCAACAGCAGCTTCTGTTTCCAAGATATTGTTCACTGCCAGATCCGTTTCCGGCTCCATTTCTCCCCGAGGCAGTGGTAGGACCAAGGGCTCTGCAGCTATCTCAGACTCTGATTCAGCAGGGTAAGTTGGGGGGGCAGGAAAGTTTTCTGTCTCTCCAGAAAAATCATTGATGATGGATCCAATAGCAGCTGCCAGTTCTGTTTCACTCGCCTGATGTGCAGGCTTATCACCTTCCTCCTCCTGACGGACTTCAGACACGTCGGCTGCCTGTTCTTTGTAGGCAGCAATGGTTGGTGTTTCAGTGAGCTTTGCAATGTGCTCCACTGCTTGCTCGAGTTCAATCTGCTTTGCCAACTGAGCAGCCTCTGGCGAATGCTTTGGCTCTCGCACAGCTTCTTTTTCTGCGTCTGGGAATGGGTTTTCTAGCTCACTCTTTACAAAATGGGGCGACACATTTTCCTCCTTTGGTGGGCTCTTGATTTTTGTGGGCGACACCACTGCAGGCTCTGCCTCCTCTTCGCTTGGCCGCAAGGCACCTTTGACTTCATCAATGTTGAGGCGGATTTCTACATTCTTCAGACACAAAGGCGCTTTATCTACGGTCTTGGCATTTCTAGATCTTCCCCTTTTGGATTTAGGAGCCTTTTCGGCAACAGGCTTTTTCTCTACAATCTCAACAGTGGGGGTTTCTACTGGATTTTTATCTGCTTCAAGTTCTTTTCTGTCCCGCTTCTGGTCACTCGCTGCTACTTCTTTGTCCGCTGTTTTGGATTTATTGCTGCTTTCACTAACGTTGGATTCCTGACCAGCTGTTTCGGCAGCATCTTCCGGTTCTACCGCAATATCAGCCTTGGGTTCATTCTTCCCTTTTTTCCCTTGCTGACCGCTCGCCGCCGTGGAATGACCGTGTGCAAGTTTCTGGGACCGAGGGGACCTCCATCCTTCTGCCGGCTTAGGGGTTTCTACAGCCTCCTTAGTTTCATTCTCATCTGCCTCTTGCTGTACTGGTTCCACCTTGATTGGAGAGATGTCTTCTTCAGGCTTTCGGCGTGATTTTGGAGGCCGTCCCCTTCTGGGCGTAGTAGGAACAGTCGTGACAGTTTCCTGTGGTTCCTTTTCCACTCTTTTTCTGGTAGACCTAGTTACTTCTACTGAATCCTTCACTGGGGACGGCCCTTCGTTGTCTCCCGTGGTAGCATAAACTGATCTGACATTTCTGCGTCTAGTCCGACCTACAGGCAAGCTCGGCTCTACATTTTCTGGCTCGGCAGCAGCACTGGGAGATTTAGCAGCATTCCTAGAAACTTTTTCTGGCTCGACTTTAATTTCTAAATGTTTCTGCGCTTCCCCACGAGGAGAGGTTGATCTTTTGAGTTTTTCACGGTCTATCCTTTCACTTTTCCTTGTGACCGGCTTTTCCATGACATTAGCTGCGGCTGACTGCACCGGAGTCTTAGAGCGTTTACTTTTGTAGGATTTTTTATCTTTTACCACAACCGGAGGTTCAACTTCCATGTCATTGTCAGAGACCACCGAGGGCACGGCCTCCACAACTACCTCTACTTTCTGGCTGGCAGGAGGGTCAGTGTTAGCAGCAGGGAGAGCATTTTCCTCTTTAGGTTCACTAGACTCTTCAGACTTCTGAAGGACTTTGGGAGGCGGTGGTGGAACCGACTGTGGAGTTTCAGGTTCTGGGTCTATATTGATGTCTGCTTGTGAAAATGAAGCACCTGGTGTAGGAGGTTTTGTATCCAAATATGACGGATGCTCTGTAGATACAGCATCTTCCTCAGAAGCTAGAGCCGTAGGAACAACATCTTTATTAACCTCCACGGCAGGTGGAGGCTCAGTTTGCTCAGGTGGTTCAGTTTTGATGGGTGCAGTCAGTTCAGGAAGAGGTTTGGGTTCTTCTGCTGCAGGTGTAGGTTCAGCTGGCCTTTCTTCTCTTGCAGAGGTAATATCCACCACTATTTTCTCATTTGCTGTCTTCTCCGGTACAGCTGGGGCTGGTTCCTGGGGTACAGTTGTGACTGAAGAAGGTCCGACTACGGATGAAGGCTTCAGCTCTGATTCTTTATCCTCAGTTTCTGGTGTCTTGGGCCGGTTTTCTTTATCCTCCTGCTTTTCTGCTTCTTTCGGTTTTTGATCTTTCTCCTTTTCCTTCTGCTGCATTCGGGTGAGCTCAATAAATCGACTGTGGAAAAGAACCACAGGCTCTTGGACCATATCAGAGCCACTATTAGTCCCATCCAAAGATGTCTGTCTCCCATACAATCGAATGAAGTCAAAATCATCGTCTTTTCTTTCCAAATGCTGCAGGCGCTTCGAATCTTGTTCAAAGATTGAGCTATGTAAAAACCTAGAAGCAAACAATTCTTGCCTCTCCTGCTCCTCTTCTTTGTGATCCTCTTTTTTATCATCCAGTTTTCCTTCTGAATCAGTCCTAATTTTTTTCTTTTTCATATACCATGATGGAATAGGCCTTGGAGCAGAGTCAACTTTCTCTTTGTCTTTATTATTTCTAAAACTAGCAAATCTTGAGTCCCAGTCTAGAAAAGACCAGTTTTCTTCTCTAGATGAAGAGAGAGATTTAGCTCTTTCCAGTAAGGCTTTTGTATCCGGCGTGATTGTCTTGTCCAATGCAAAGGAATAAAATTTGTTTCTTTCTAAAGACGTTGACAACCTTTCCTCTCTTTCACGTATTTTCTCTTCTCTGTCTCTCAATAAAGAAGATAACCTGGAGCTCTCCAATAATGACGAGGCCTTAGGAGACCGGGGCTTATTTTCGCTGTCTTCATCCGAATCCGAAGGGACCTCCCCTGGCTCCAGGTCCCGTACGGATCGCTTTCGTATGCTGTCTCTTTTAACTATGCTGCTTGGGAAACTGATATCGACTCTTGTTCCTGGCTCTTGTTTCACTTGCGATTCCCATCGATTTGATTCATCTTCAGCATTCAGTACAGATAGCTTTATTTTAGCCATTTCTGTCATCTGCTCCCTTCTGCTGGAATCATAGGGATTAAATTTTAGGGAATCTTCCCTCACTGTCATATTAGCATACGAAAGACCCTTCTCTTCTATTTTAGGTGACTCTTTCGTTTCTTTTAATGGCATTAGCCTTGGGGAATCTAATATGTCGTCATCCTCATGAAGAGGAAAGTGTCGGATGCTAGGAGAACATGCAGTCCTTTCCGAATCTTCGCTCACCTGACGAGAGCTTCTGTAATTCCTCTCTCTTTTAGTGCTAATTTCAAAGTCAAAGTGATCAGTCTTTTTTCTTTTACTTGGCGGAGAGTCATCTGTGACATCTTGTGGGGGTTTGCCCACCTCATGGACCAGGCTACGCCTTTCATATTCATCTATATCTTTCTTTGGACTGCCAAACTTCTCAGAATTTGCCATCTCCATTTCCTTCTGCTGTTTTAGCCTGCGGCTTTGCTCCATTTGTTTTCTGTAACTTTGCGTGTGATCAATATCAATGCCGATTTTTTCCTCCGACTCAGCTGATTGTAGTTTTTCTTGGCCAAGTTTATGGTCAGGCATCTCTTCAGGAAGACAATAGTTTTTCCTCATGTCCTCTCTCTCTGTTCCTTGGTCATCTAATAGGTGTATTTGCTTGTGTTGTTTTATCAGATTCAACTTTTTCAAAGAGATGTCTTGCGTTTCCATCAGTTCATCAACTGGTTCTCCTAGCCTTGCCTGCAGATCTGAACTGGGACGCGAGCCAATCCCCACTGAAATGTTAGCAGGCTCCTGAGTATCTTTGGGACTGGTAACAGTAATAAGTCTTTCCAGTTTTATTTTTTTAGATTCCCTTTTAAGTATCTCTTTCCTCAAGGGCTTTCTTTCCAGCTCTCCTTCCCTTAACACTGTAACTTCTCTAGATGAAGCTGTCGTATCAGTTTGCTTTTTCAAGACCATGCGGGCATCTTCCTCATCTTGGCTGCTTCTTTTAACTTCCAGTTTTTGCCTGTCAGGTTTCATGTTTCCATCAGCAAAACGTCTCTTACGAGCCTCTAATTTGTCTAGATCTACTGCATTTGCCCCTTCAGAAGTCTGCTCTGTCTTCAGGTGTTTCTTGGGCTTTAGTTTTCCCTCCCTGTCAACCACTTCTACATGACTGGCAAGCACCTTTTCTTTTGGCACTTTAGTTCTGACAGGCTCCAGTTTAGACTGGTCAGACTTTGTTTGCTCCACTTGAGATGTCTGGATTTTTTGTTCAAGTGGAGACTTGATAGTGTCATTATCAAGCTTTGCTCTCGGTTTCTCTAGAGGCTGATCAATAACTTTCCCTTCCTTTTCTTTCACTCGGGTCAACACAACGCACGGCATTAGTTCCAGACGGTTTTTAGCTGTCCCTTCTTTGTCAGCTCTCTCTTTACTCTGTTTAGTATTGCCCTTCAGTTTTTCAGGGCTTGGCTCTCTCTCATTTTCTGGATCTGTTTCAGAAGACTGAGAGCTTGGCGAATGGTTTTTTGGTTTTCGTTTTTGCTTCTCTGTTTTATCTTTTTCTAGTTTTTCTGGTTTCTCCTTCCTCACCAAGCGTTTGTCTTTGTCAACTCTCTCTTGGTCAAAAGCACGCTCTTTATCAGGTTTCTCATTTTTTGCATAACGTTCTACACGGGCTTTGTCAAGCTTATCGTATCTTGGAGGAGAAAGCGAGCTACAGCTCCCGCTGCGGTCTGAAGATCTGCTGTAGATCCTCCTTTCAGAATCACTCTGAAGCCTTTCTGATTGGGAGGGAGACGCTCCAGGGCTCTGCGGACGCCTGGAATGAGTCGGACTTTGGCTGCGCTCTATTGGCCTCCTTTCATGATCTCTGTCCCGATCAGATTCAAATCGCTCCCGCTCCCTCTCCCGTTCTCGTTGTCTATAACTGTACTCCCTTATATCTTGTTCATAAGGATCTCCTCTGTATTCCCTGTATTCTCGTGGATCATCATAATATCGTGGGTCGTAGTAGTCTCCTTGATAAGGATCCCATTCTGCATAAAATTCTCGGCCTCGTGCTGGGTATTCTCTCCGAGGATCTTCAGGATACGTCCCTGGAGTTCTAACAGTCTCATAGTAAGTACGATCAGGGGCATATTCGTAAGATCCTCTTCTTTCATCTCTAGCAAAAAACAAGAACAGCACTGGGATTAGCTTTTCCAGTTAACCAAGGGGTTTAATTATAAAAACTGTTCTACATAGAGAATCATTTTATGATAGTTTCTTTATTTAGAATTACTCAGTGTATGATAGCTGCTATTTGTAGCGGCATACATAGAATTTAACAACAATGAAGTAGCGCATAGTGGATGAGCTGCTTTGTTCGTTTCAAATATCTAGCTAATCACTTTGTTCATGAGGCTGCTGTAATGAATACTTTTGATTCCATCCTGTTACTCCATCTTTTGCCAAACGTGAGTTCAGCTGTGACTTAGAAAGTATTTCCAGTTTCAAGCAGGGAGTAAGTAAAAAACCTGTGGGGCAGAAAAGTGTTACGTATGTATAAAGACTACCCAATTTGAGGCAACTGCTACGCATGCTGAAGCATTTAGTTAGCTCCCAAAATAGGCACTTTATTTAAGGTTTGATTAGGCACCTGATATAAGGTGTGCTTATCTTACAAGTGAGCAAGATGGTGTGCTTTTTCTTATTCTAACGGAGCATTAATTTTCACAGAGTGCTAATAGCTCCTCCATTTAACACAGTGCACTGCCATTATCTACTCACATTGCAAGCCAACAAAATAGTACACTATACAGTCAGAAACAGAGCAGGTGCATTTCATCTGAAGCATTCAGCGGCAGAAGCCAAGTGATTGCCCCATTACCTTAACACTTCCAAAACTACAAAAAAATCAAAAAGCAGTTGCAATGGCAGATAAGTGGGGTTTTTTCATTTCTCATACTGAAAGTATATATGGTGCTCCAGTTCCCTAAATAGTTTAAACTATGCTTTGCACACTATTTCACACATTCAGACTTCATACAAAATGTGAAATGTTTCTACCTTGTAAGAAATGCATAAAATTTTTAAAAATCTAAAATGAAGGTTTTACTACAAAAGGGCTGCAAAAAATCAGCAAAAGCTCAGGAGACATCTGATGAGAACAAGAGGAATCGTGCAAATACACTTCTCAGTCTACCAACAGAAATTTAGGCTCGAGTCAATAGGACCAAAATCTGCCTCATATTTCAAACGCAAAAAAAGTTAACAAGAAAAAGACTGGCTACTCTCTGCATCCACATGGACTTATCTGAAAAAATAGGTTATAAATAATAAATTGGGGAGCAGTATGATTTACCATGCACCCTTCCTGCTCACACGCTCTGCCCCACAACAGGCTGGACTAATTGCAAAGCCCTGAGTAGGTTTGAACAGCTGCTGTACTCTATAAATCAACCCCACACACAAATATTTCCTTCTGTCCTATCCTGCCCTTGTCCCGAATAGGTCTACGCGTGCTCAGGGCCCAGAATGTGCAAAATACTATCTGAGATGCAAGTCCAGTGTCAAGTATCGACCCCTGAGGGGCCTGGAAATGGTGGTGCGTGCGCCTGGTAAAAAAAGGATGCTCAGGTTTGCAGTGGTGCACATCACACTTGTTTCTAGTCTCGAAGTGCTGAAACCTGTAGGACCTTAACAGTGTGACATTTTTAAGCAAAATTATCAGACAGCTTTTTAATAGGCTTACTAAATGTACTACTTCTAATATATTTAGTCTCTCCTTCTAAGACCTGTTTAGCTGAATTCATAAAGAGCTATGACTTTACAGATGAAAGAATAGAAAATAAATATAATGTTTAAAAATCCCCTGTAAGATTTCAAAAATAACTTTTCTCAAAATGGTGTCACATGCAGGTTTGTATAAGTATGGCCTAAAAATGGAACAGACATCCATTTACAGTGTCCTGAATAATTAAGTTGCAGTTTCAAGATTCATAAATACAGTAAGTATCTCAGGCTCCTGCCAATGTATCTATATACCAGCCTACCCCGCACGCATTCTGTTCAAATTACCTTTCTTTTTAAAAGATAAACATACAATACAGAGAGTTCATTTTGATTCCACAACCAATTAACTTTACTGAATTATTTTCCTCATCTCTTGGATACACTGAGAGAATCCTGGTTTGCGCAGCCTCCTTAGCATCACTACTAGGGACCTTTTACAGCTGACGCTTGTTTGCAGCAACACCTTGCAAGAGCAACAACCTCTTACCAGCAATATTTCACCTTGGAAAATTTTCCATACCATGGATTCAGCTGACACTTCCTATAGCAACAATAGCCATTAAAGAAACAACATAGCACAAAGGTGCAGTCATGTTGCTATTAATGGGGTCTGGAAGTCCTGGATTCCAAATATTCACATGAATAGGGCAGGCTGGTAAGCAAAAAGACTAACAGGTGCTGGACTATAAGATCCAGAACAGAGTTCACCTCTAGTTATGCAAATTGCTCCATGATTAATTATTCTGCACTAGTTAGTAGAGATGCAAACATAATGATGGATTAGAAGGGGGAAAAAAGAGAAAAAGAAAAACAAGACTTCACATGCATCCAAGTATCATCTTGTTCTAGAAATCCGTGTTCTAGTCAGAAGAATTTCACAGGGAAGACAGGCCCAGATGCCTTGTGTGTGCTAGGAGACATCAGACAAACTCATTTCTCCCTTTTTAATTCAGTCAGAGGAAACTGTCACAGTCTGCCTGTTGGCAGATCGCAATCCTTGGCAAGGATATGGGAACACACACATTCATTCCCATTATGCCAATTATAATTTCCAAACCAATCTTCATTTTTTTTAATCTGGCAACGTTACGTATGTTATGTCAATATACTTTGATCTAAAATGGAAAAGGGGTAGCTCGTAGTTGCAAATAATGTCAGACTCGTTTCATTCTCAGATCATTCAAAACCTCAAAAATTAAGCCAGCCTTTAATTTCTGTCATAGTAACGTATCAATCTATAGAGAAAACTAGCTTGCCCGTTCTCCATAACAATCATTAGTAATGAATTTTATCCAGAAAGTGTTCCTACGTAAGGCTGCATTAAACCAGTCTGGAAAAGTGACCCTTCTGGACAGAACAAACTGTCTTTTGCAACCCATATATAATAGTTACAGGATGATGAGAAGTGAAGCAATGAATCTAGAGAGAACGCACTTTTTCATGTTAGATAGCAAGCAAAAAATGTAAGTCCTCCTCAGAGTTCTTATTATTCAGTCAAGCCACGGAGAAATGATGGGTCTGCATGGAAACTTTATATCATCAGTTCAAGAGTTGGAAAATATGTGACTGTAGTAATGGGATCAGCTGATCTGTTAATCTGCAAACTACTATGAGGGAAGGGAAAGGAATTAAAAATAAAGCATTCCACATCATTAAGTCAGCTGAGTATTTAGACTGCATAGTGGAGCAAAGGACTTCAGTTAAGTCTTTGACACACACAGATTTTTTGGTACTATGGATATGGAAACTATAAGACACTGGCTTTTTCCAGAAAATCGAACCATTTCAATCTGTGGAAAGGTTTAAAAATTAACACAAGGAAACTACAATCTATAACTAACCATTAATACACTTGTCTTTTCAGTACACCATTGGTTCAATGTATGAGCATTAAAAGTTCTCTGCCCTGAGTTCAAAGTGGAATGGCGATTTCTTCAAGTATACTCGCATCTCAGAAGTGCAGAGGCAGCAGACAAAATGACTGAGTTTGGCTATGTGTGTGGCCTTCATTTTAAAAGTTCCTTTAATTTAATTTTGTTCTCCGGTCTTAACTACATTTAAAATTGCGTTAGAAAAACAAGAGAAAGGAATAGGTGTATTAGATACATGCCTTCTTTCTGCCAGCATTTCATAAAAGTCTCTGATATCTTGACCTGTTTTCTCCATGGAATGATAAAATGCCAACTGACTCTCTCGGTTTGCAAAATCCACCTGAAAAACAAAGGGTAAAGCATGTTCAATAAAGGAAACATCCCATTCTGACACAAATTGAGAGTCTGCTACAGAACCTGAATATATGAGCAGAAGGGAGTGTGGGTGGGATCCAGTTAAAAAAAAAAAAAAAAAAA